GGACTCCGGCGGGAACCCCTGATCCAACATGGGCTACCAACCAACCAACCCAACCCCAGGTGGTGCAACATCCGAGGCTCGAACCAGCGATCTGTTGAGCAGTAGTCGAAAGAGCTAACCACTGAGCCACGGCCTCGTTGTTTTGCCGATTTAGATTGACAATACTGGCATTTGTTGATGAACGCTCACTGATCGCTAACAAAAATAACTCGTTCTATTCTGCCTTGGGGCTCACTTTCGAGGGCGGCTAGCGGCTAGTGGTGAAGGCAGATGAACATTGCCGGAAAAGACATGCGAATGTATGCAGTCATAAGCAAGAAACACGCAAACGTGATTTGAGAAGAATTTAAGGCTGCGCAAGTTGTGCGTTAACACAGAGACAGTAAACAACCGCAACTAACACAGAAGCAGTGTGCGCTTGCCTTTAGAGAGACACTGTTGTCGTCAATAATTCCAGCGGAGGGTCCAGTCTCGACGTTTTGGGCTTGTCGATCCGTAGAGTTTTGAGGGAAATTTGTGGCGGTATCATTAGAAGTGTTCACTACGCGAAGGTTGGGCATGGAAGTGTTAGGATTGGTCTATAAGAAAACAAAGTTGTGGAAATTATTACGTGCATGAAATTCCCACACTCACTGGGGCAAAGTAGAATCAAGACAATTGGATATAGAGATTGTTGTAGTGCCTGACGGACCTGAATTAGCGTCAACGGGTACCATAGGCATTATCGGTACACACGAACTGGACGTTAAGGAAAGGGGTTACGGGCCACATTAGGATAGGATGATCACAGGCTGACACGTAACCCAGAGTAGGATAAAGTTATTCCATCCGATCGTAGACTTACAAGCCACGATCATCAGTCTCTTGACAGGTTAAGGGGGCGTTCGGTTGTTGGTTCCCGCACAGAACAGTGTGCAAGTTAAATGATTAGCTAGCTGCTCGTTAGTTAAAGCCTTCATTCAATCGCGTACACGCCATTATTTGCAGGCTACCAACCAAAGGAGATTTGGATTCACTCAACAACAACAACAACAACAGCAGCAGCAGCAGCAGCAGCAGCAGCAGCAGCAGCAGCATGTCACTCAGCAGGAATTCATTTGAAAGCGTGTTCTCTGCTAAGTAGCCTTGTCACCGCACTTACGATACATTTTTCCCC